CAACCAATTTATTGGTCACAATCAACAACCCATCTGTGACCACCACCAACACAACACCACCGTCGTCTCCACCGCCAACACCATAGAAAGACACCACCGCCACCACATAAACCACCGCCGCTGCCACCACATACACCAAACACTCCACCCCCGTCCCGATCCACCACCAATACTTGGTCACAAATCAACCAAATAATTGGTCACAAATACTATCCCACCTTGTCCCCGCCACAAAACTAGCACAACCACCGCCAATGACAATAAAAACGCCTGCATCACACTACCTACCAAAAACACCACTGTCGTCGCCCCGCCCCCCGCCACAACACCAACCCAACTACCACCATCACCGCCTGCACCACACCACCAACAAAAACCACCGATGACGCCCCCTCCACAACCACCACAACAACCACCGCCAACAAAAAATCGTAGCAGAACCACCATTGCAGCATCGTGACGCTGCGTTCGCACCAGAACCACAACCATCGCTGCCCGCACCACCAACAAAACCATCGTCGCCGCCGTAAAACACCACCACCACAACAAAAACTCGGCGCTTGCGCCACCACAACAACCAAAACGCGACTGTGTCGAAGAGAGAGAAGGCAGATCGGAAATACAAACCCTAATTACTTAGTAGCTTCGCCATTCTCAACCACCAACATCGCGATTTTGAGATCAATTTCATCAGGAATCTCCTTCATCTTGCTGTAGTCGACTTAAATTCGAGTTGGGGCAGGGCTCTAAGCACTGCGTTGTGACGTCGGTGGGCTGACGATTCTCTTCTGGTGGTGACGCCGCTGTGCCGGAGATTCTCTTCCATGGGACGGCACTACTACTGAGAGAGAAGGTCGATTAGTGAGAAGGGAAGATGAGTCGGTTTAGAGAGAGAGATGAGTGAGAGACAGGGGATTGGAAAGAAATTAGGTTTTAATTATTAATTTAATTAATACATAATTTTTGATTAAATAAACTTTGAATCTGATTTTTGAATTTGATTTTATGTAACTACCTCATTATTTTATCTTTGCTCATTCAAGCCCGCCCATGATTTCGTAAATCTCCCCTCCTTTCCCAGCTGAATATATTTGGGGAAGAAATTACACCTACATCTGATTTTAAAATACCATTTTCATAAATCAGATGACAAGTTTAACTTTTCCAAAATCAGATTTTGATTAAAAAATTTAATATTAATAATTATATTACAAATTCAAATTAATCATTTTTCATTTTCATTACTCTCTCTCACTCTACCCTCATCGTTTTTCTCTCCTCTCCTCTCCTCTCCGCCTCTGTCTTCTCTCTTTTCCTTTACCGGCGGCGCTGGCGCTCAAAGCGGCGACCAATGCAAATCGTGGCTACAGCAGCATAGAACGCGGTGGTGAGTTTTTTCTTCTTTTTTTTTTCTCCGCTCTTCCTCTCATCTCTTCTCCCTCCTCCCCCTCTCATGTTTTGTTGTGGGTGTGGTGTAAATCTCCATAGAGGAGGTGGTGGCGGCGATGGTGTGCGGTGGTGGTATGTTTTTGGGCGGCGATGGTGGATCTGTGGTAGGCGGTGAATATCAAATTTCCAGAATCGNACTGGTTTTTTGTAATTTCCTCTTGATTTAATATGACCTAATCATGCTGGGCCAAGAGCTAAGAAGCTGAATTTGGAGAAATTCATAGGGGATAGTTGGCCTAATGAGTCTAATTGAAGGTGGAAATTTTGCCATTGAGAAAAGGGTCAATGTTGTTAGTGATGGTAAACTTGGGCCTAATAGACAAGATAAAGTGGTAATTACATCAAATCAGAATTTTTAAAATCCAACTTCAAAAATTAGATACAAACTTTATTTATACAAAAATCAGATATTAATTCAAATATTTAATATTATTAATACCACTAAAATTCATCACAATCCCTAATTTTTCTCCCCTCTCATTTCCTCCCTTTCTCCGTCTTCTCTCTTCTCGCTCTTAATTTCTACCAACCCCCACCACTCATGGCGTCTCCATCCCTCTCTAATCCGACATTACAATCAAGCGCAGATATCCCGTCATTCTTCGACGATGCGAGGGCCACCACTCAAAACCAATGCAGAAGGGGTTATGTCATCGCTTGCAGCGGCTTTCGCTGCGAACAACTTGCAGCGGCGTTGTGGTGCCACATTTTGTAATTAGTATCGATCTGTGGACGAGCAACCACCAGGGTCTGTGATTTGTTGTTTTTTGGTTTATTTTGATTGCTAACATGAACAATGGCTGCCATGGTTTTGAGATATATTTAGGTGTGATTTTTGGGATTAAAATATGGTCGTCACGCTAGATTTGGTCGGTTTTTGTCGATTGTTGGAGTGGTTGTGGTAATTTTCATGGTTTGGTGATATTGCGGTGGTTTTATTGGCGAGGCGTAGGTGGATCTAACGCTGCTGGTGGTAGATCTAGAGCGACGGTGTGGTGGTTGGTACATGTTGCCGTCGTGGTGGTGACGGTGGTACGTGCGGTGTGTAGTGGTTGCTGTGTGGTGGTGACTGGTGGTATGTGCGGTGGTGTTGCTGGTGCAATGTGGTGTTACAAAAATGGTGGTGACGGTGGTGGCGATGACGGGTGGTTGTCATAATTTTTGTTGTGAGTGTATTGGATCTAGTGGTGGTGGCTTTGTTGTTGGTGGTGTTGTGGTGCTGTCGTGGTAGTGGTAGTAGTGGGATAGTGTTTGTAATCAATTATTTTGTTGATTTGTGACCAAATATTGGCGGTGGATTGGGATCAGGGGTGGGGTGTTTTGGTGTATGTGACCAATTATTTGGTTCATTGTGATTAACCATTAAAACGAGACCTTAAAATTTGATAATTTGTGACAAATAAATAATATGTGACCTAAAAGTTTGTTAATATGTGATCGATAATTTGATAATTACTTGTGATTTGTCACTGATGAACAAACTGTGACTTATAAAAATTTTGAATTGTGACCGTAAAATAACTTGTGACCTATAAAATTTATGATTTTGTGACTTATAAAATTTTTGATTTGTAATCGATAAAGAAATTGTGACATAAAATTTTTGAATTATGACTGTAAAAAATAATTTGTGACGTTTCAATTTTTTATTTGTGATCGATGAACAAATTGTGATCTATAAAATTTTTGAATTGTGATCGTAAAAAAAATTGTGACATATAAAATTTGCGATTTGTGACCAATTATATAAAATTTGTGACCAAATTATATGGAATTGTGACCTTAATATATTTAATTAATAAAATATATGTTTAATTTATTTTTTTATAAATAAAATTTTAAAAAAAATATAAGATTTAAAATTTTAAACCTTAAAAAATCTGAAATTTGAAATTTTAAACCTTATTTCTTAAATTTGAAATAGGTAAAACTAAATATCTTACTTATGAAATTTTCCCTATATTTGGCCCTTCCCCCTTTCCATTCACTGTCTTTAAATCAAAAATTCAACACAATCAATCAAGAGACGCTAGTCACACTCCAACCCCTAACCCTATTATCTTTCCAAGTCTCGCTCTTGAGAATTCAAATCGGCGAACTGTATTGAAAACTTGAAGAAATCTCAGTTTTTGTATCAGTTTACTCGGACTGTTCGAAATTCGTTGTATATACACAGAGATTTCTATTGTTACAGTTGATATTAGATTTCCCTTGTACTATTTTTGTATTATTCAATTCAGGTTGAGTCTTGTTTTTCAGGTAGAATGGGAGAGCTCAAGACTGAAAAGCATGTCAAGTACATTTTATCAGTTGAGAAGGTATGCTTCAATGATAAAATCTTCTGGTTTGTTTTTCCCCCTTTACATTGCATATCTATATATTGCATACAGATTAGACTTGGCATTTTCAGGAATTTAGTAATGTTCTATTAAATTTGGTTTACTAAATAAAGATACCAGTAAATGATGAATGATTACAAACGAGCTCTGTTTGTAGAATTATTAATAGTAGACCTAACTTAGGAATTAATTTACTCACTTCTTACATGTTATGCTTACATTTTTAGGAACCCTGTTAAATAACATGTACAGAAGATGAGGAATGACTTAGCCATTTTCAAACTTTGTCATATTTAGCTATATTGATGAGCCAGTAACTGCTTAGTAAAGTAGTTGCAAGATAAATAGCATTATATCAAGTAAAAAACTAAAAAATTCATTGCACTAAGGAGAAAAGAAACCATCAAATTCAATTGGCAGGAGAATAAAAGATTGGTTTTGTCCTTTACTAATACAAATATTGGATTGGCAAGTACAGCTTAATTAGATAAAATGAATAGAAAAGAAGGCAAAAAATTTGTTGGTCACATTGAACTTCACAGTAAAATGTATATCTTACAGCTAAATTTTAATGGTGAAACTTTGCTTGGGGTGAGGGGGCTTAGGCATTATCCCTACCTTGCTTAAGACCTTTGTTTGAGCATGTTCGGCTAAGCCTAAAGGAAAAATGTAAATTGCATTCGTGGAAAATAAGTCTTTACTTACTTTTGGAAAAGTGAGTTTTTGAACTTTAAATCCCCCCAAAGAAGTAACTCGAAAATTTTTAAACATGTTTGCCAAAAAATTTGAAGTTTGTTTACTATTTTTAAGATTTGCCTACATATTTTGGAGGCATTGCTATTTATATATAATTAACTTTTGGTCGGTCCTATATTTGAATCAAAAATTCAAATAGGATTTGATTTAGTGTGCTGACATCCAAAAAATCTAATGGTTCTCTAATTTATTGGATATTTTTATGGTAATGAAATAGGAAGTAGGATTGGGGTAGGGATCCTGCAACAGGGTCTAGGTTTTTTTGAACATGCAGACTAAAATAGATGTTTTGAACGGAAACTGTTAGTTGGGGCCAAATTCACGGAATTGGAAGGTTGATGTTCTAAATTCCAAGAAAAAAAAGGGTTGGGAACAAATTGCAAAAGGGGTCAAAGTTTGATAGCGTGATGTGTAATTTAACATAAAAGGTAAAAAAAAATGAAAAATGAGAAAGAAAGTGTGCAGAAGCGAGAAGTATAGTTGTTACTATTGGTCTGAAAATTTAATTACATTTTTTATTGGGTGTATCTTTACTTTTTTGGTATTCACAAGTTTATTTTCATTATTGATTGTACTGGTGTTCTATTACTATTGTTTTTGATGTATTCAAGGATGTATCTGACCTAAATTTGTAACATATTTTTCTTAGAGGAAAGATGATTATGTATCAGTGGTTATGGAGCACCTAAGGTTAAATGGGGCATACTGGGGATTGACAACTCTTGATATTTTAGGGAAGCTTGATGCAGTTGATGAAGATGAGGTTGTTTCATGGGTCATGCAGTGCCAACATGAATCTGGTACATGTTTCTGAGCTTACTTTATGCTGTTAACTGGTTTAGCTTTTATATTTATTAACAGGTGATATAAGTCAAACCCAGGTATACTATGTGATTAATGTTTTTATTGCTTTATTTAGTCTTTATCTTTCCTCCCTCTTCTTATTCTAAATGAGCTGCTCCTATATTGTACATGATACTTGCAAGTCTACCTATCTGCATATGTATGTAATGGTTCTTGTAAATTCGCCTATGCTGTATCATATATCTGTTTGTGCAGGTGGTTTTGGTGGTAATACAGGACATGACCCACACGTGTTGTATACCCTCAGTGCTATTCAGGTTTTAGCACTATTTGACAAGATAGAGGTTCTTGACATCGAGAAGGTCTCGAATTGTATCCTTCAACTTTAAAAGCTTTTGGTCTTAGATTGTTCTAGAGGTTGAATCGTTATGTGGTGTCCTTACCTTCGACAGTGCATCTCTACTCTCTCCAAGGAGTTTTTTTGTGCCTATATGAATATAACCTTATTAATCAATGAACTTGTTAGATCTGCTAATGCTCAGCTCTTCTTGAATGGCTTTTGTTCAAATAGTAAATAGCTTATTTGCATGTGCTTATTTTGTACATGAACCTTGAGTAAAAAAAACGTCTCATTTACACTTTGAGGTAGCCACGTTCAGCCATTTGATTCCTGAACACTAGGCAATTTGTAGAGCAGCATATTTGTTAAATTAATGTATATTTATGCCATTTAGAAATTGCTCTTTAAGCCAAACATGGTATCTTATAGACTGGTCAATAGAGGTTTTGACAGTTAACCTGTTATGATTTTCAGCCAACTTCACTAACCACTTATTAATTTAAAATAAACTGTTCACCCCATATTTCACAATTATCATAAAAATCCTGATTGAGATGTTTGAAGAAAACTTTGAGGCCACTGTTGGTGAGAAGCTCCATTGCAGCTAAAAGGCGGGGTTAGAAGGCGAGGAAAATTGAATGAGTCTTGAAAGAAACATCAAATTTTCCATGCTTAGATAGAGGGCATTCTTGAAGATCTATATGAGTTTTGAAGCTTTGATTGCTCTATACTTCAGTTTGTCAATTATCGTGTTCTGACTCTGGGTTTTTAATTCAAGTGCAAGGGTTGATATTATGGTCCGTGATTAGTTAGTTCGTTTTTCCCTTTGTGCCCATCTCTAGGTAAATTTCCAAGCAATCATTTACTTGAATCTTGATGCATTCTGTTGCCACTCGCTTCTATAGGCATTTAAGAGTGGAACATTTCTAGTTATATTTTGTCAGAGCTGAAGTAATGCCGAAATTAAGATGAACCTAGCATCTATATCCCTGAGTTTTAACTTGGTTCTTTTGTAGCTTTACCAACAACCACTGATAGAAGTGTTTGATGCGAAGAAACGGATTTTGCTAGGAGTAAAATGCAGTCAGGAGTGCAGTGGAATTGACACACACGATGTAATGGCTGGGGAATGAAGACAGGTGTGGACTTGTCACTAACAATAGATTGATGAAATAATAGTGAGTTTCAACCATGAAAAGCTAAACCTTTAATTGATAGTTATAAAAATCCTCAATTACACCAGAGAAAATTCTCCAACTGTAGGCTTACAATCACTGGGAAAAAGTAATTGTTGCTGTTGTGGACGTTCAACGAGGAGGATGGGAACATGGGGTAAAGGTAGCAGTAGGCAGCGGAAGATTTCTGAGGATGGTGGTGAGAGGCAGAAAGTAATGGTAAGCTGGAGGAGCTGATTGGGGGCTGTGGAAAGATTATGGATGGATGGGAGAAAAGGTGCAAGAGATTCTGACTCCATGGTAATGGCCAAACCCATGGGATTGACAAGGAGAATGGGAGAAACCTTAAAATAGGGATTTTGAACTCCTTCCCTTACACTTAATACCACCTTAATACCTCAAATATGGTGAATTATGCAGGGATACAGAAGGGGTCCTTGTACTTCAAATGGGGTGAAAAATCAATTAATTTAAATTACCATTAGAGCAGTCAGGTGGCAGTTTCTAATTTTGCATTTTTGAACTTGGCTTCTAAACTAGATGGCGTGTTATGGGCTTTGTGTTGGCTCTAAATACTTCAAATACAGCATTGCTTTATTACCTTTTTATATCAGAAAGAATATTTGAAGCAATATGAAGTTGAACTTGACCAATAAAAACCAGACATTGCCGGCTTACAAAATGAAGATGGATCCTTTTCAGGTGACATGTGGGGTGAAATTGATACAAGGCATATCTTCCCTTTCTATATTTCTCATTTTACTTCTGGATCTTTTCTTCCTTATTAGTAAAATTATTCAAGTCTGGTGTTTATTAACTTTAATGTTGATATTATCGATTTTGTGGATAAATAGTGACAATAACAACTCTTTCTTTAGGTTTTCTTACATTGCAATATGTTCTCTTGCGTTGTTACATCGGTTGGACAAAATCAATGTGGAAAGAGCTGTCAAGTACATCCTTAGTTGCCAGAATTTGGATGGTGGATTTGGATGCACACCTGGTGCAGAATCTCATGCTGGGCAAAGTATGTTGCACAATATTTAGTGTTACATTTCCATGAGAATTGTTTTTAGTCATTTCTCCACTAGAAACACACGCAGACACATTACTTGTTTTTGCTGTAGTGATTTAGAAAATATTTGTGCACTAAGTAAATAGAACAACAAACAACAAAACTAATCCTTAAGCCTTATTTCCAATAAATTTGTGGTCGGCTTCATGAATTTTTTTGTCACTTTTGTTCAATTTTTGCTAACTGGAAGATGCAATGTAACAATATCCTTAGCAACCAAACATATTAGTTTTTGTGTGTCTACCTCTCTCTCTTCTAATTTGTCCCACTGCGATCTCATCATGAATGAGAGTCTCATGCATGGACCTGGACCATATATTTTATAGTTTCATTAATTATCCTCAATGAAAGGTGTGCCACCTCCACTTTTAGTTTAATCATACAATAAAGCAGAGCAGCTCTAATAACTGTTTTGTAGAATTAGCCTCCATTGTAGGGTCTTCCTGTCATATAGAGCTTTTGACGGATGTCTCCATTTCATCCAACCTCTCGAATCGTATGCACCCTCTTCAGCTTCTCAGTTCTTGTTAATAATTGAATCTAAATACCTAAAGCAATCAATTTTTTGGATAATATAATCTTCTATAGCTCCTCGATTATCCTTGTACCTACGATTATTAACATGACACTGCATGTGCTTTGTCTTGGTTCTACTCAATCTAAAACCTTAAGATTCAGAAATAGTTCTCCACTGATCAAGTAAACACAAAACGAACGAAAAGTGTTAGCATGAATTGTGATTAACTTTTTTAATGGGTGGTCATTTCTGTACCTCTGTTAGATTGTAAGCCAGAGAATGAATGTTATGATAATAACTAGTGGTTTTTGACTGGAGGAGAAAAGGGAGTATAAGACTGATGTTTCAGTACTGAAGAAAAATGGCTATTATATCGTTTGTCTTTGATGTGCAGAAATAATATTTCTTATTTGGCATCTGCGAGGGGTGAAAAATGAGTAGATTAAAAACATTTGCTTTAGTTGGCAGGCTATAACACATGACCTTTATATCTCTAATTTTTTATGTTGATTGAAAGAGTTGACATCAGAATGGATTCTCTTTAAGCATCATGTTTCTCTGTCCTGCTTTCTTCTTCACCTTCAATTATAGTATTTCATATATATATTTTAATACTAGGACCTGCCATTCGATGATTTAATTTGATCCCTCTGCTACAGTGTGCATACTTATTTTATATATCTCAGTACTACATTCTGTATTTTAGCCCAGCAGTCGACTGTTTTATCCATGCATTTTAATGGATGGATTGTGAAGCTACTTGATATGAAATTCTATAAAAATAAAATCTTTCCATTTTAAATGAACTTGATTTCTTTACAAGAATCCTAGGTGAAGGCAAGAGAATTTGTAGCAGAGCAATATATAGTTATACTAAATACAGTATATAGTATTTATACAAAGTAATGGAGTCATGTCATGCTGCTGTTATTTTAGTTTTTTGCTGTGTGGGAGCTCTTGCTATTACTGGTTCTCTACATCATGTTGACAAGGACCTCCTTGGATGGTGGTTGTGTGAACGACAAGTAAAATCTGGAGGCCTAAATGGACGTCCTGAGAAGCTTCCTGATGTGAGCTACCTTTCTCCTTAAATATTCTTATTTTAAGAGAGAAAATTAAGATATTCTTTAATTCTGTTCTAATGCTACTAACGTCTAACTCCAGGTCTGTTACTCTTGGTGGGTCCTTTCTAGCTTGATCATGATTGATAGAGTTAACTGGATTGACAAGGAAAAGCTTGTTAAGTTTATCTTGGATTGCCAGGTTACTTCGAGAATGACTTACCAATTGTGTTTGAAATCTTGAATTCTGGGATTGTTTAGATTTCTTATCCTTAATTGATGTAGGATAAAGAAAATGGTGGAATTTCAGATAGGCCAGACGATGCTGTTGACGTCTTCCACACCTTCTTTGGTGTTGCAGGTAAGTGTTGAATCTCGTCACAATTCTTTCGAGTTGGGGAGATGTGTTTACATTGTGAATCTTGTCTTAAAATGTATGAATATTGCAGGTCTTTCGCATCTTGAATATCCAGGATTGAAAGCTATAGATCCAGCTTATGCATTGCCTGTTGACGTTATCAATAGAATTTTCCTTGGCAATTAAATGGAGCAGTTTATATAATTTAATCTTAGTGGGATGAATAAAACAGTTTTTCGTGGTTTCATTTTCTGTAAAATGACTAATAATCTAATATAAAATCTTGAGCTTGGATTCTTTCATGGCCTTTTTTTTATGGTTTTTATTACTGTGCAATTAAATCCTACAATTTTGAGGAATTTCATGATCGAAGGAATTGTTGTTGACATCAGTGGCATTGTGCATCCACTGTCCATCAAATAAGAACGAATGAAGATTTGGGTGCTTCACCGGAAACTAAACACTATTTTCTATTTCTTATGTCAACTGAAATAGCCATGTAGAGAAAGTTTTCTTAGGGCTGCATATATCTTGCCATTCTTTTAGTAATTTGGTGTGCTCATCTAACAGCCATTCAATTGTGTGGTTTACTGCTTTTGATGTCTCTGGTGAATATCTCTAAGATACTAGATGATGCCTGGTATTATAAGTGAAAATATTTGTATTCTGTAGATGGATATAATGTTGAGAAACTTTTTTGGCATTCTTATCAACTTTGAGAAAAAATTGAGGGTTCTAATTGCTCTTAGAAATCCTAGGACATAATGGATTATATTAACGATTGATGAATTTGAAAGATCTTATCAAAAAATGAATTTGAAAGAAATTTTTGGTATATTAAGTTTTAAAAGAATAATAGTTGTGTGAATGTTGAGGATGCATGAACCAATATCAGATTGGCATCCCATCATACTGCTTGTCGATGGTTACTGATTGTATCTTGTCCTTACATTACTTGGGTACCTTTTTGGCACAATAAGCGAAATCTTACACATTGTATTGTATTGTTTAGTCTTCTTGTTGACAATTACATGATGGACATGCCATTTGTAAAAGTTGTAGTTTCACCTCCTAAGTTAAGTTTTTAATGGGTAATTATATTTACACCACAATTTTTATTAACTGCACCATAATTAGCGCCTATTTGAGCCCTATTTTTTGTCTGAAATATATTTTGGAATATTATTTTGATAGAGAATGTGTGGTTAAAATATAGTTAACCGACCCCACCTCCACAACCCCTATCGCTCCGGCGACCGTTCTGATGACTACTCCGATTCTTGCGACTATGCCGATGATCGTTCCGGCGGCTATTCCGGTAAATGTGACCTTTATTTTTGAATCGTGACTCTACAAACACATGTGACCCATTAATATTGATTTTTGGTCATAACATTTTTATAGGTCACACGATCACAGACTTTCAAATTAGTTGGTCACAGATTTTTTCACGGTCAAATATTATATAATTTTTAGGTCACAGATAACAAAATGGTTGGTCACGAATTATATTTTTAGTCATAGATTATCGAATTTTAAGGTCACAGATTATATTTTTAGTCACAGAAGATCACACGAACACAAATTTCCAAATTATTTGGTCACATATTTTTTCACGGTCACAGATAACGAAATGGTTGGTCACAGATTATATTTTTAGTCACAGGTTATCGAATTTTAAGGTCACAGATTATATTTTTAGTCACAGAAAATCAAAATGACCAGATCCACCACCACCACCATCTATGCACTATCGCCACGACCACTACCACTACCACCGCCTCCACGACCAACATCACCACCACCTAAACACCACGACAATCAGTAGTAACATCTCCATTTCCAAAACCACCACCAAAACTACCAGATCCCGCCGATCCGCCACCACGGTTACAACTACAGAATCGTCGTCGCACAAAACACCACCAACCAGTAACCACCACTACCTGCAGACAACTTCACAACCATCACCACCACCCAACCGCCACCTTATCGTCATACCAACATCACTGTCTCCAATCTAAAACACACAAACATAAACAAAAAAGAAAACCCAAAAAGCCGGCACCGCCAACTAAAAATCCAGGACCACTTTGCCGCCACACTGCCACCACCTCACGATCTGAAAACCACAATTGGAAACAAAAACAAAAAATTCGGCACCACACCGCCACCACCTCGCGATCTGAAAATCACAAACAGAAAAGGAAACACAAACCACAATCGCCACTTCAGATTGTGGCTGTGGCGGGGTTGACGACGACGAGATAGAGGAGGGGGTAGAGAGAGAGAACGGGTTTGGGGGAGAAATGTAGAGAGAGAGAAAGAGAGAGGAAGGCGGCGGGTTGTGGCTGTGGGTTGGTAATTGTCAGCGATCTGTGCACCACTGGTGGATGTCGCCGATTAGAGAGAAGAGAGAGGGGAAGGCGACGGGATTGGCAGTTGGGGGGAGAAATGTAGAGAGAGAGAGAGAGAGAGAGAGAAGAAGGCCGATTGCTGTGGGTTAGGGTTAGTAAATTAATTATTTGATAAAGATGTTAATTAAAATAAAACTTCTGATTTTTGAAAGATAAAACATCCCACCTGATTTAAGAATTCAGATCTCCAAAAGTAGGATTTGGAGTAATTTCCACTAAAAAATAAGGACAAAATTTGAGTTTGTGTGTGATATTATTTTTTGAATAATGTGTGATTGAAAATAAGAGAGAAAAATGTATTTTGAAAATAATAAGGATCAAACAAGGGCTTAATTGCAACGAAGTTTGCCAATTTTTGATTAGTTTTGCACTTGTGAGCTCAATTTTTTTTGTCACATTATTATTCCTAACCTTCAATTAAATAGAACATGTATGTATGGTTAAAAAGTTATGATCTGCGTGCAAAATTATTTTATTGAATGATTGTGTGATTGAAAATTAGTTTGAGAAAAAAGTTGGCGGTACCAACGAACTTCAGGTAGCAATTTGGTAAGTGAAGGGCAGAAACAAAGGAATGAATCCCGAGCAACATTGCACCGAAGGCTTAATTGTATGCCCTGTGCAAACATATCAATGTAATGAGAAAAAAGAGTTGCTCGACTGAGAAACAATCAGCGCTCCTTCGTTCTTGACTCGAGTACTCTTTCTGAATCCCAAATGTTATCGAAATATCTTTCTCAAATGTGCATTGCATATTTCAAGAATCTATTCTGCTGGATTTTCATAAAAAAAACTCGATTATTGCTCAAAAATCGTCATTTGAAACTGAGAACTAGTATGGCTCTTCATCTCATGAAAGCTTCGGAGTGGTTGCAGATAAATAGACGCCTCCATAATGATTAACAAAGATAAAAAAAGACAATGAGTGATTTCTTGCAATAAATGGTAATAACCTAGGTTTCAATCTTTGATGAATAGAGACGTTTTCAATCTTCCAACAAGATGTGGTAACGTCTTGATGTTGTCTTGAACAGATTGGTCAACACACGACTCCAAATCCTTCATGGCATCACTTCGGTTCTGCTGGACTTTGGCCGACTCAATTTTGTCTAGGCAGACCATCAGAGACCTGTTCAATCTTTCCAGCACATATCCAAGTAACATTGAGTAAAAGAATGAAAAAAGACCATCAGAGACCATCAAATTTGCTCCATTCATAGACACTCGAAAATGCAATGAAAAGAACAAAATAGAAGTTGCACTATATTATACCAATGAAGGAACCTCTGGACAACCATGCAAAAAAAAAAAAAAGATTTCCTGGTATAGTAGTAATATACAGTAACAACATCTTGGACCTGTGAGCTCATGATATGTTGTGCACCTCAAGACCCATACAAGAACCTTGGCATTAAGTTCTCAATAGGCTAGGGCAATTACTGTTCTGTGGGACTCGAACCTTGGTGGAACGGTTTGCTGCCAGCAATCACAATTAAGTGAAAAGCGTGTTTTCTGGCTATAACGTTTTATCCCATTTCCTTACCAAGATGGTGACACGTGGAATGATCTGGACTGTTGGCTGCTCCTTTGGTTGACTCTTAAACTTACTCAGCTCGTTTTCTTTTGGATCATTCGAGAACCGCTCCCTTTAGTCTGCCTTGTGAGAGAAATTCTTAGGGTTTCT